GCAATAGTAAAATTCTTAACAAAATTAAAACACAACCTGCCCACCAAAACACACAGACCTTTACTAAACTAGGGCTAGAGCAGGGTTCAGAGGCACACTGAGCGCTACCAGTGGGGTTTCTCTCCTGGTTAGGATGACATGCATTCCTCCACCTGTCCCAAATGACTCACACAAGATGATTTGCCAACTCTCCAACCCCCACCATACACTTTGATGTCACAGCACTGCAGAGCTCTAATTTCACACAAATCCACTCTGTTCAAGGTGTGCCTATTTGCAACCTATCTGTTACCACTGTTTTAGTGCTCATTGTCAAGTCTGTGCTGTATTTACCCAAATTTGTGCTATAGACCTGGTATTTGCCAGAAAAAAAAAAAAGGAGTATAGAGATAGGTCTCAAGAAATAGCCAGATGTTAAAAAAGGAGATAATAAGTACGAGAGACAAAACAGCTTTGGCAGAAACCGCTGTAGGGAAGGGAAGGGTGGTTCCAGGAATTGGGAGTATAAGTTTTGATTAGGGCTGGGCTGGTATTTCCCACTTCAACTGCCTAGTTTTCTCCTTAAAGAGGAAATGGGATTTTCACATTTGCCCCACTCAAGGGAGTATTAAATTAGAACAAGGACTTACTTTCATAGGTAAGTTGACCCAAATGTCACTTGTAAAGCAGGTCTATACACGGGAAAAATAGTGTTTTAAACTCAGACTTGATCTTGCTATAAAACGACTATATTCATATAGGAAAACTCTAACTGAATGCTACTATCAGAGTAAATGCAGCACTGTATCTCTGCAGTGATTGCTTTCTCAACAGCAGCCATATTCAGGGCCTATCTACACTCCTTGCAAATGCACTGAAGTCTGAATACACCAACACAGCAAAGATTAAAAGATGAAATCTTGAAAAGCAAAGTCAGCAACAGATAGGTACATTTTTTAATTTAAACTAGAAGCACTATGAATGATTCATTGCAGTTTGTATTCATCTATACATAAATTAGCTTCCTTACCTTAGATTATGCTAGAAAGTGCAAACCGGTCAGTACCATAGGATGCTCAACAATACTCCATATGGAAATGCCACTGCAGAATATTGTGAATGCCTCTAAGACATCACATATGAAATCAAAGAAAGAAGAGAATTAAAAACATCGGATGGTTGAAGCTTCCCTTCCTCTATCACCATCCACACCATCAATAAAAATATGCCACTAAACAACATGTGGATCAATGATCTGGGCCAAACTGAAAGAGGAAGGAAGATAAAATGCAGTTTAAAAACATGTACAAGCATCGAGACAGGGATGGGGCAGAGAGCGAGCCCAAATTATAGGTCTGGGGAAGGGGTGTGGAAATTAAAAACACTTAGTTTTATAGGCAGAAAGACTTAAAAATGGACTTAAGAAAATTTAAAGGTTTGCATTTATCCAACTACAGTATTTTTGAAATGCTCGGATTCTTTTTGTTTAAGCTGTGCAAGCAAGTTGCATAAGAGTTTGCTAAATCTGGTTATTTTTTGCAGGCTATACTATAAATTGTTCATTTCAGTGATACAATAGAACTACTTCATGTTGATCGGAGAGTCAGTTGGTGAGTAAAATGGTCTTTGAAACAGAAATAATGATCAAGAGCTAAACCTTATTAACAGATTTATGTGCTTTCATTCAGCATATAAAACCCATATTTCCCAAGAAGAGACAAAATATATTAGCTATGAAAACAAGCCAAAGCAGTATTTAATTTTTATGAAATGAGAT